TGGTGTAGAGCAGAAGAAAGTAGGAAATGTATGTGGAAAAACTGCCCCAATTTAGATCAAGGAGCTGAGTACAAATCCTCAGTGGTAGAGATGGCTTGGGCACAGCAGATTTCCTGCAGTTGCACGTGTGTGCCATCACCCTGATGGCAGGAAGCTCTATGAGAGAGAAGTGGATGGTCCTTGCCCAAGACCTGGTACAGGGGACTTGGTGAGAGAGCCTTTGCATTACCAAGTTGGTCCCAGGACTGTCTCTTATCAGGGGTGGCTTTGGTAGGAACAACCCTAGAAGCTTCCTTCTGGGAAGAAAGGCTTATGCAGGGGATCAGTGTCCCTGCTCTGTCCTTATCTCTGGACACAGCAGTGATCGGGGAGAGTAGATATGGTGGGGCAACTGGGTTTTTTTTATGAAGGTCTGATAAGTCTTTACTATTTTGAGACACCTGCCCTCCTCCTGCACAGATCCTTCAAGCTGACCTTTGCTATAGCAGAAGGCACCTTTCTTAGCAGTGAAGCTTGCTGGCTTTTGTAGCACAACGTCTCTTCTCTGATGCGTTCTTATTTGTAAGATTCTTGTTCAGTTACAGATGCCAATGCCGAGCAGCAAGTAAAAAGGAGCCCATGCTGGGTTTCCTTTTTGTGTTTTGTCTGTTTTTTTAGCAACATCTTCCTACTGGAAGGAAATGCATGTACAGATATAAAAGTCTATAGAGGGTGAATATTTCTGTAATAAAGACTTTGCTAAAAAAAAAATACATCTCTGCCTACGACTTGTGCATTGCAGTGGTTTCTCCTCGCTTCTTCTCCACCCCCTTCTGCTTACGTGCAGATCACTGACACCTGATTTCTTCAAGGTGGCAAAGAGCCTGTCAAAAGCTGTTCTGAAGCCCAAGTGTGAGATCAACGGGGACTGTGAAGATACTGCCCAGCAGAGGGAGATGATGATTTTCCTAGGCTATATTCTAGAGTCAACTTGTTTTATGAAGGATGTCTGTCCTGGAGTGAGCTGCATGGTAGTTCCCTTGAATTACCTGCTATCTTCTAAGCTGAGATCTCTGTATTTGAAGATTTTTCTTGGTTGCCCAAGGAAGTTGTGGATGCCCCCTCCCTGGAAGTGTTGAAGGCCAGGCTGGATGAGGCTTTGAGCAACCTGATCTAGTGGAAGGTGTCCCTGCTGATGGCAGGGGGGTTGGAACTGGATCAGCTTTAAGGTCCCTTCCAATCCAAACCATTCTATGATTCTATGAACTCTGTACAGTCTGCACTGTATGAAGTCATAAACCTCGGGGACTAACTGACAAAATACACGCTTGCTGCTATGCCCACAGTGCATGCAGCTTGTGCTAGCTTAGCTTTACCATTTTTGTTCCTTTTCCTACTCACCTTCAGTAGGTTCTTGTCTCCAGGCTGCTATTTAAAAAGAAAAAGCTTTCTCAGCACCTACCACTATGAGGAGGAAGAAAGTTGAGGTAGATGTTTTTGTAGGTTATGCCACTGTACACTGGGCTTGACTGCCTGGAAAAGCTCTTGAGAAAGAGATAGAGCAACTGTATGAATCTTCATCTGTCCCATAGCTAAGCAGTTGAGAAGTGGGTGTGAGTTGTATCTCTGAATTCCTTCAGGTCCTGCTCCATGGTGATGTTTCTGGCCATTTAAAATGCCCATCCAGTAACTGCGCTAGTGAAGTCCAGAGCTATTGCTTTAGGAAGTAATAAGCATGACCTAAGTCCTCATACATCTTTGGAGAAACAGAGTGAAGTTTACAGTGAAGAAGGTGCTTGGGGTGCTGCCAGCAAACACTGGTGGCAACTGAAGTCAAGACTTTAGTTGCCCTGACCAGTGGAGTGTTGGGTGAGAGGTGTTTAAATGGTTCCTGAACTCCCAGTAGGGTGCAGTGATCTGTGAGTAGAACATGTTCCTTTAGGGGCTGTCCTGGGTTGTGCTTGAGGAGAGCTTGGTTCTTGTTCACATGGGATCTCCCTCTTTTTCTGGCTGGTTTCCCAGAGCACCCTGCTTTAACTAGGTGGCAATACTTTCCCAGGGCTACACCTCATGGCAAAGCTGCCAAACCTCACCAGATGGCTGTTAGGTGGGGAAGGGTGCTGCTGGTTCTCCTTCAGCCTAATGTGGAGCTGGAAGGAGAATGGAGGGAAGGTGAGGTTTAGATTAGATATTAGGAAGAAGTTCTTTCCTGTGAGGGTGGTGAGACAGTGTCCCAGGTTGCCCAGAGAAGCTGTGGCTGCTCCTCCCTGGAAGTGTTGAAGGCCAGGCTGGATGAGGCTTTGAGCAACCTGGTCTAGTGGAAGGTGTCCCTGCTGATGGCAGGGGGGTTGGAACTGGATGAGCTTTAAGGTCCCTCCCAACCCAAACCATTCTATGATTCTATGAAGACTGCTTCTTGTCTCCAGCTTGGGTCCCCAACTGTCTGAGCTCTGTGGAAGCCACTTGCCTTCGGCCACTGGAGGGAGGTGTTCCACCAAGAACACTCACTTGGGGTGCTGCAGTATCAGCAGGGGGTGAGATGATGACACTGATCTCTTCCTTCTGCTCCTAGTTACTCCTGGCAGCAGGGCAGCTAAAATAACTTGTAATTACAACTGTATTCTCCTTGTAAATGAGTTGTGCTGCATGCTTGGCATTTTTTGGGGATAATTTTCCCTTGCATTCCTTGGAGCAGCACCACACAGTTGAATGTTTTGTTGCGTATCTTCCACCACTGTATATGGCTTGTGCTTGCTTCTAGGGCTTCCTGCCCTAAGTAGCTCTGGAAGTTGAAGATAGCATGAGGAGCTTCTCCAGCTTCTTTCCTTGTCCCCATTTCCTTCCTGTGTCCCTCCATCCTCAGTTTCTTTGGGTAGGAAGGAAAGAAGGGAGCATTTGATGCTTATAAACCTGATCTGAGAAAGGATTCCAGGAAAAAAAAAAAGTCCTCAGACCCTTAGAGAGCAAGAAATCTGCTGCTGTTCCTTGACCCAGGTCTCCAGCTCATCTCCAGAGGTACAAGTTTGCTGCTGGAACCTAGCAAACCAAATAGCACTCGGACTTCTTGGGACCTGCAGTGTTTGTCTAACAAAAGCCACAGCGTCAGCCTCTGCAGTAGCTCAGCACATGGAAGCATTTTGTGTGGAGTCAATAAGTTGCTCTATAGCTGTCCCAGGCCAGTAATTAATATTGCAAGAGGATAACTGTGACCTTGCTGTGGCCTTAAGCAAGGCCCTTAGTGATGAACTGCTGCCATTCCTCCTTCTATGTGATCATGAGGAACTCGGAAGCTGCTGTAATTCTTCCCATGAGGTGTTTTGGGTTTTTTTCCTTCTGGAAAAGGAAGAGGAATGTCATTAGTTAAGAGTGGGTGTGGATAAGCCTATAGGTCACAATGCATCTTGTTTTCCGTGATGGTTTCTCATGGCACGTACTCAAATGTGACATGTGGCAGCTGTTCTTTCCTCTGAAGCTCTCCCACGTGTGGTGGTGTGACTGGTCCCTGCTAGCTTTGCACAGGAATTGAGGCTGAATTTGGTAGAATTCAGGAAAAAAAAGGTCTGATTTCTGGCTGCTGAAGGCCAGACTGCACGTGGTGGTTTCAAACTGGGTAGCTTGGTTGGGGAAGGTGAGGAGCAGCAGCCACAGGGACTTGTTGCTGAAAAGCCTGAGGACCCTGCGATTCCCACAAATGTGTTTTCACAGCCAGTTGCTGCCACTCAATGCCATAAATGGAGAACATACCCTCAATTATTTATGCTCTGGCTCCAACCCATTAGCCTCTGAGACTCTTGGCTCTCGCCCTGGCCTTGTGTTACAAAGAACAAACCTCAGTTAGCAGCCAGGATTTCTCAATGACATCTTAAGCCAGGTTGACACTAAAAACTTGTCTGTGTGAAATCAACTAACGTGGTTGCCAACTGTGTCCTGGGCTGT